GTTTGCCCAAGCACAAGACACGGGTCATGTTTATGGGTCACAGGGATTTCCATCATATAGTCATTAGTTCCGAGATGATTAACAACATTTCCATGGCAATTCCTTTGCCAAACTTTATTTTTAAAAAATAAATATTGTTAATATCAAGGTTTAAACAGGACTGTATTAAGTGAAAAATTAGAAATATAAGATTTACATTGAGCTGCTTTAATGGCACTTGTTTTCTGTAGATCTGCTTTATAGCATAATCAGCTGTCTTATAATAGGCATTGTTTTTGCAACATTAATGTCACTGAACATGACTTTAAACTGACTTAGGACAAATAGTGAACCTTCTGATTTATTTAGAGGGTTTGTAGCTTGTAGCTCATTTGATATCTGGTGAAAATCTCTGAATTCATATTGAACTGGCTTGAGCTAAATGTGTGTGGACATTATTGTCCAGAGCTCAACTGATTTTCATTTTCATTTTATGAGCCGGTCTCTGATGTATGTTTCTCAGCAGATATGCTATTGAAATGATCATTTTTTATAGAACATGTAACACAGATAAAATGCTTGAAATGGTATAATTATTTAGACCAGCAGAGTACACTCAATTGTTTGCTACTGGCAACCAGCCAACCCTTTTCTGTCACTAAAGAGGGCTCCTACAGCGACATTCAAGCAGTGTCTTAAAAGTAAGTTGATAATTAGTTTGCTACTGTAAAGTTGAGAAACAATGACCCCATTAGTTTCCAGGGTTTTTTAAACATAGACTTGTTTGTGACATCTCTAACCCCCTGCCATCAACGTTGCATCTGTTTATGCACAAAGACTTTTAATTTTGATAAAGCCACCCTTCTCCAACCATGCCATTATAAACCCTCTGTGTTTAAGATCTGTTTTGATCTACATCGCCTGATTGAGACACAATACAAACACATTTAGCACTATATTTAACTGTTTTAGACACATTAACAGCATTTTTTCCATCAAATATATTTACTGACAAACCCATAGGTAAACTTTAGCTCCATTACTGCACCATGAGTGCTAGGTCTAAGTTTTCTGGTGCAGTTTTGCATTTCAGATGCTCATTTCAGTCAATCGAAATTTTGTCAACCGACAACCGCCGCTTGTAAACTGAGTATTAACTGTTAACTATTAACTGTTCAGATTCATAATAAGTTATTTAACCCCCTGAGGTCGAAGACCACGTATACACGTTTTGATCTGTAGTGTCGTCAAACTGCTAAAATGAACTTAAATTACACTTTCAGTTTTGATCATACAGATAAGATCAATACATCAGTCGAATCTGTTATGCGTCTACTTTTTGTTGTGCACACTGACTGTGGTCAGAAAATGAAAGGAAACTCAGCAAATAGTCAACAAAGATGATGATTTATGATATCTAAATAAAGCTTGTTATGTCTACTTATGTCTACCAATTCAAGTTGAAAACAAATAATCTCTTTTTATGTAATCCGTATAAAAGTAAGGACAAAACAGACAAAAGTGCAAACAACGCTCCCATTTCTGTGCCCATGTTGTTGTTTACAGTACTGTCTTCCGGTAGCGTTAAAGCCATGTGTTATAGTCATGTGATAGAGGCTTGATGAATAAGGGAAGGATACGCAATGACACAAAAGCCCCAATCAGGTAGCGAATCTCAGCAGTCCCGCCTCCGTTTTCAGATGTCTCCGTTTTTTCTCATTCACACTAAGACAGAGCAGCCGCGTTTCAGAATGAAAACGGCCTCTCCAGCGTTTTCAAAACGCTCCGTTTTCAGCGCTCGAGAACTCTGGCGTAGTGTGGACGGATGGCGTAACCGTAGCAAAACGTATGCGTTTTAAAACAAAAACGCATTAAGCCTAGTTCACACTACAGGATTTTAAACATCAGCAGATCGCTGTGCCGTTCACACTACATGACTTGACTTTGTGTCTTTTAATCTCTGTGGTGTTCACACTATGCAACACTCTGTGAAAGATCCACAAGAGGGGGGTCACACACTACGATCTGACAACAACTCATTCCCCATCAGCTCATTCAAGCTACCAAACCACAGCCAATGAAATTTTGAGGGAGGAGTCGTCAGAAAAAGCTGAACACTATTGGCTGCTTGTGTGCTGATGACATCACTGACAGAGTTTCAAGCTTTGGAGAAAGCATTTAAAAACATTGTCAAATCAGCTAAATTATCAGCGGATAAATCACTCATCTGCAAGGTTCCAGTGGATAGATACACAGAGAGTTTTTAATTTTTGTAATTGTATAACTCTTTGAAATAAAACTAACAAATAACACTCTTCCGTTTTCTAACTATCAGTGTCTTTCTTTATGACATTGTTATTTTTTTTATTACAAAACAGTAAAGAACTGAGCATTTCTGCCTTAAATAACCATATTGGTCAAAATGACTGCATGCATGTCTGATACTTTTCGCTGTGACTTTAAATATGTGTGCATTTTCTTGCCTAGCAACTTCCTGCTAACATAAACAAAACTTTATGATGGCAAAAACATAAATTTACTTCAGATATCTTTCAAAACAGCATATTCTGTGCCGCGAAATAGCTCCTGTTTGAAAGTGAAAATGAAAGCCAGGACCTTTGCATGTTCTAGTATCTTAACTACATATTTATAGGCTGTATTACTAAAAAAAAGATTTTATTTTTAGGGTAATGATGTCATTAAATATGATGCCAGACATTCAAAGCTTGATTTTAATATCTCAATAATACCTTTGAATGTAAATATGTTGTGACAATATGGCGTTTTATATGAGAACGGTCAGAATGAGCAGCATGGTTATTCTAATAGTTACAGAATTCTAGTTCCACTGTTAATATAGCCTACTCTCATGTCTGTGTTAACACAAAATGAGGCGAGTGCGTTAAAGCCCATTCTGACCAATCACAGATGTTTCTGTTGAGCTCCTGAGCACACAGGCATTTAGCTCATGCTGATATGCGCTCTCATTGGCTGCAGCTCATCACTACATCGCACCACACGTGGGGTTGAGTCGGCCGACTGCTCTGGAATATTTAGCATGCTAAATGTAAAAAGGCGAGCGCCGTGCACCCGCAGATTTCTTCCCGATCACAGCCCGATCTGTCGGCGAGCTCTTTAACTTTCAAATCGGGCTCAAATCAGGCTTAAAATCCTTAGTGTGAACTAGGCTTTACTGTAAAAGGGGCCTCAGTAAGCACGCTGTATGCAGGTCTTTGTCTTCTCAGGTGTGACTCAATGCATAGTAATGATAGTTCACGCCATCTTGCATAGACCATTTTCACTCAAAAAGTGACATGGAGATTTTAATTCAGTATATTGTTTTCTGTGAGCAAGTGAACAAGATGATTCTCGCATCATTTTGAAGCAAAAACACTAGGCTAAAAGATCTAGTTCTCAAAAGTCTTGTGCACAAATGTTCTCTGTGTTTCAAGGCCTTGTTTCAGTGACTTCAAAATTTTAGTTTTTCACTAACCACGCATAAATGTTTCTTTTTTTAAAAACACAAATGCATACAAACATGCTGCTTAAGTATCATTGTAGCCCAACTTGTGCTGTTTACAGTGTTATCACACATTAACCATTACTATGTTTTTAAGATACTGAAAACAACACAAATGTCAGTGCATGTGAAAACTTTTCCAGAGCCCCAAAACACCCTCAGACCCCAGAGGGTTAATAAAAAAAAATTGTGTCTATTTTGTTGACTTGACACATTAAATATTGCATTTTAAAAAACTGATTATTTTTAACATGCGAACATATTATTAACAACAGAGTATCTTCACGTGCCTGCAGTGTTTCCAACAGCATAGAAAAAAAAATGACTGAAATACTTCACTGAATACTTTTTAAGAACTGCTATTCAAATGGAATAAGAATAGGCTGTTTTTTCCAGTCATGTTTTTTCCTTCTGTCAAATAGAAAATAGCAGACTACCTCATATTGATCGCTCTACGTAAAAATATGCATTTAATTAATGCTCTGTTTGTGTCACTAACCTCTGTTAATATTTTTAATACAAGTCATTAAAGATTATGTCTTGAGCGTCTGATTTTATCTTAGAGCTTGTGTGCTTTTAACATATGAAATTGCATTAATTTGCATACATGTTTTCATTCATTCATTCATCTCGAACCAGCAACCTTCTTGCTGTGAGTTGACAGCATCACCTACTGCGCCACTGCATCGCCTCATACATGTTTTATAAGCTATAAAATGAAAGCCTCAGTTTGGTGCGAAGTTAACACTATGCAAAAAATCAAGAAATTCTTTGGATTCTTTTAATTCGTAGATTATGTAGGCTATTTTAAAAATGGATATTTTATAAGAACTATTAATAACTGTAATTTACAGGTTTGTTGTTTGTACACACTACATCCTCACAACTATAGCTTATTTGTTGTGTTTACGAGCGCTGCCGGAGCGCGCTCTGATGAAGATAAAATCCAGACGCTCTAACCAAAGCAGAGCACATTTCAGAAAGTTTTATTTTGTGGACTCCTTCTCTAGCTTCGCTAATAAATGGAGGTGTTTATGACGAAGATCCAGGGCAGAGGCTATCAACATCAGCGCTGGTTTGGCATCAACTCGTCTTGTGTAAAAATGTGACCAGCAATATTCTTCTTTCTTTTTGCTTTTTTGGCAAAATATGTTTTTTTATGTGAAAATTCAATGTATAGTTGCATGCAGTGGGGTTAGCGGACTATAGATAGACTTGACTTGAAAAACATATTTCAATCCACATCCCTCATCCACAAAGCTTATAGATCATTCATTATCTGAATGGTATTTAGTGTCTTTCTCAGAATTATCAATGTAAAAGTAACTGAAATTCACCTCCCCCAAACCATAGATCAAGACAGTCATGCTGATATCAGTTGTCCTTTATACACGCTTCTGAAAGAGGAAGAAGAGGCGAGCGACTGGAGAGGAAGTGATGACTTAAAGGTTCTCGCCTTCCGATTTCTAAACAACTTAAATATCTTTTTTTGTCTAAGCAGATGAGATGACGGCAGACTCCTTTGGCTGTTTGAAGTGGTGTCTTTGTGGGCGACTCAGTGCTGAACGGACGCCAACAGAAGGAAACAGAGACAGATAGACCAGTATTTGGAATCAGCTTATCTGTTTTCCTCCTGGCCTCCTGGTTTTCCATCAGGATGGTGATTTCGGCATCACTTTGTGCCTGTGTGTTTCTTCTGACTGCCGTCAGGTGTCATTCTCATGTCCTCCCCCGACTCTCTTTTCCAATGGGTAAGTTTCTTTTTTAATTAATTAAAAAAAAAAAAATCCCATTAGATATTTGAGTGACTTTTAAAAAACATATCTACTGTTGTTCTGTTTTCGTTTGTGTGTGGTGGTTATTAGGTTAATTTAAATTTAATTATCCATAACATCATAAAGCAATTAAAACTTATGGATGACTTGGGTTAAACATAGTTTGAATACTTCATTATTTTAGCTCTGTAAATAATAGTGCTTGTAAATATCTTGTAATAGCTAGCATAATATAATCATTGTTGGATATATTGAGTGTTCTGTAATAATTATGTATAAAAATATTGGTACATTTATATTCAGTTATATTTCTATAACATTTTAAGAGTGCTTGAATGTTTTAAAAGCCAAGTGAAAGATAAAGCATGGCAATAAAAAGAATATTATGCTACTTTAATAAAAGTTTTGTTTGGTTAAATTATTGAGCAATTTTGATTTTTGTTTTGTGTACCTTTATTTATTATTCGGTTTTAATAGTTAGTACTTCAGCCTAATAAGAAATGTTGTCTTGACTAACTGAAGTAAATTATTTTGTATAATATTGAATTCAGTTTTGTTTTTGTTGTTGTTAATAACTCATTTGTATTATCAGTTATGTTTTATTTAACAGTGAAAGTGCTGCTTTAATTCTGGTGTACATTAAAACGTTTTTAACAAATAATAGATGCTTTAAATAAGTGTTGGGTAAGTTATTTTTTAAAAAGTATTAGATTACAAATTACTGACTACTACTGGAAAATTGTAATCTGATTACAATACTAATTACTTCATGTAAAAAGTAATCAAGGCAAAGTAATTAGTAATCAGTAATCTGAAGTTACTCTTAAAACATATAAAATATACAAAATAAACTGCAGCTCTTGCAGTGATTTAATATTCACTGAGAAACATTACAATAGGTTGATCACAGCAGCTTGATATATTTAAAAGACTTACAGAGTTTGCCTAAAACGTAAAATTCTCTCATCATCGACTTGTTCCAAACTTGTTTCTTTTTTTTTTTTCTTTTTCTTTTTTTTCTTTTGAGCTCAAAATAAGACATGAAGGAAACTGGATACCTATATCGACAGTATGCAAAAGCACTGCAGTGTTTGGGTGTTCTTTGTTTGTCTGAAGTATTTAATCTTCCAAAATGTGTATAATCCATACAAAGCATGAAGCTGATTGCTCAGTTCTTGTTGCGTGACTCGCGATTTTCAACTGGTGCACCTAGAAAATTCAAACATGTGCAATATGTTTTCCGAATATAACAAGCCACACGCCTCCATTGGAAATAACGAACTTGTGCAGGCAAAAGACGAGATATGTGAACGGCCCCATTAGCAGCTATGCTTCTCTTCCCATTCAGAAGTTACCTTCACCCCCAATCCTACACAAAAATGTAATTTAGTCTGTTCAGGGTGAGTTGGGCCACTGTGTTTTTGGGTGTCAGTGTCTTGCTTGGTGACGAGTATTGTCCTAGAATGCTTTCTGTTCAAGTGCCGGTCGAGTTTAAAGCAGTCTAAAGTTCTTTAGAGAGTAGTCATAGATTGCATTTCACAACAATATTTTAGCTTTTATGCTCAATGAAATCAAAGTAGTATCTGTATTTCTACTTGAAGAAGCAACCACTCTCGACAGCAGCCATTTCAGCTTGCGTTTTCCAGCAATTTAAAAGTGCATTCTCGTTAACTGATGTTGCAGTGCAAATTATTATTTAAAATAAGAATTTTTTCTTCTAAAAACTATATTTCCGATGTAAGTAACACAATTACATTGACTTTAGAAACTATCTATCAGATTACACAAATTTAAAATGTAATTCGTTACATTATTACATTTCCCAAAAATGTAATTAGAAGAAAGAAACACGTTACTATGGAACGCATTACACTCAACTCTGCTTTAAACTAAATTAGTTTAATATTAACATTTCCACCCATGAAACATTAAATGGTTCAGTCAACGCGCCGTAATTTTATTAAATTTCACTCAAGAAATATTAAGTCCTGTTTTGACCTGTTAGTCAAGTTGTGATAGTTTTAGCATGCTATGTTTTAGTACTTTAAAGTTTAACCATGAAATAGGTCATTTTTTTTACACTGTCAGCAAGTGTTGTTGATTATCTTTTAATTAGGTTTTATAAAAATCAACTAATTTTAATTTATATTTTTTAAATAAGACTGAAGATGAAAATGTTTTGAAACCTAGTTTTGTAATGACCTCGCTTCACTTGGTTTAGCTGCGCACTGCAGTGACTGGCACACATACTTATTAAAAGACTTAGATTAGATGAGATGCTTAACTGTGATTAAGACCTGTGCGAACATGACTAGGAGTTTTGCTTTTCGCATATGTGCAATACACAATTTAATGTGTTTGCAGAACAAGCAAAGCTTCTTTAAACAATATGACAATTGGAAAGATAATAATCATTTTGCACTTAGTTAGTTATTGATTAGTTTGTAGAGTGATAAGTTATTATCCAATTGGTTAATATCTAAAAATTCATTGTTTTACAGACCTATGATGAAATTTAGCAGACAAAAAAAACACTTAAAGATAGGGAAGTTCCTATCAGGATTTTTGCAGCCGATACTGAGTACCGATTCCTTGTCATGGTGATCTGCCGATATCATTTACACTGTAAAAAATGTTACTTAGATCTAACTTATAAAAAGTGAGGCAAGTGGTTGCATCGGACGTTTTAGGTTGATTCAACTTCCAGCCTTTTTTAAGTATTTTAAACACTAAAACATTGCTTAAAACAAATGCAATAAAATTAAGTTGAGCCAACTAATATTTCTAAAATTACTCAAATCAGATAAACTTACTTTTTTTGTTAAACTTAACTTACTTATACATTGCTATATGTTGACTGTACTCATTTTAATTAAGTATTATGAACTTAATGATCTAAATAAAATTAACCATGCATATGTCATTTAAAACTAATTTAATTGACTTCTGGCTGTAACCTCAGAAAATAAATCTTCGTTTCTATATTGTAAGCACAATATACACTAGTAAAAACAGATAAACAGACTTTCCTGTCAATAACAATTAAATAAGAATGGGAAGATGGATTAAAGACCATAACATGTATTCAATATCAATCGATGTTCCTTTTAATAGTGACTACAAAATAGGCCATTAATGTGGCTACACATACACAATACATAAATAAAAACATTAATAATACCAGATCTTATTGAGAAATCATCCAAGGCAACTCAGTGAGGAGATTTGCATATTTTGATAAAGATTTAGGATGCATAATGTCCAGTCCCACAAAGAGTCTCTAATATATCTCAAATGTATACAGTTTTGATGGATACTTGAAGTCGAGGACATCGGTAAGTCCAAACAGGAGCCATCATGCATTTGACAGGTTTGGCAAACCTCTGACAGTCCTATGATAATCCAAACTGTGTTGGGCTGATGGCAAATTTTTCCCGTGGGCAGCCGCATGCACCTCTGATTCCTCACAACTCTATTGGTAGAGACAAAAAGAAACAGGAGTTCAGGTGGTTGCTACCAAACAACATTAAATAGCTAAATACTGAATAGGAAATAACTACAAGTGAAGTTACAAAAGTCCAGTGAGAATGATGCATGGATGAAACACCTTAGTTTATCAGTTAAAAATTACCTTAGTTAAAATTACCTAACTTCTATTTAAAAAATAAAAAAAGGTTATAGAGGTTGTGTAATTACATTATTCCAGGTGTTTTTAGTTATCAAATTTTAAAGAAAACTGTGATTTTACTCAGTGTAACAGTGCATGTCATTGTGTTTTCCTGTCAATCAAAGAATTGTTAAAATTTAGGTATTACATTTTTTGTTTATTTTGGCAACTTATAAAGCATAAGAATGTGTATTTAATTTAGATATTAAAACTGTTTGAAAATGGCTATATGAAAATTATAGAATACAAGTTCTATAATTTAAATGTCATCTTCATTTTGCACCAAACTTTGCACGTCATAATACAAATTTTATTAAATAAATAAATAAATACATTGCCATTTTACACATTACATTAAGGTTTACATTAAATTTTTGCTAAAGCTACATTTAATTGACTTTTTCTATAAATTTAATGTGACTGGCAAATGACAGTTCAGTGATTCAGTGTTATCAGTTAGCTTTATTGAAAGACTGACAGATAATAAGAAACTGCATTAGGATATTTTTATACTGTTTTTACTGTTGCACACATAAAAAAATCTTCAGATATCAAATGTAAGTTAATTCTATGGAGCCCACTATTGTTTGCAATTTTACCAATGTTTTACTTGCCTGCAAATAATTACAGCTGTAGTTGTATCTAATGTTTTTCTTACCTGGATGTGAAGTTTGAAGATCCACAGGTAACAAAATCACTTTGGTATCTAAAGACCAAGAACATGCATTTTAGAATGAGGTGCATACAATTTAAATGGTTCTGTAAACATCAGTAGTAAATGTAATTTAAGTTAAAATAAATTGTAAATCTGTAATTTATTCACTATGCAGCATTAAAAAACTTATGGACTAAATCTCTAAAACACAAACTTTAAGTTATACTTTCTCTTACGTTAAACACAAACTACTTAACTGTTGCATACGTTTCTGCATTTAATATCCATCCTTAATGTGCTGCTATAACTTAGGTGAGCTAACTTTAGCTAAGTTAGCGCTAGCAAACTGAACCCCCACACCCCGACCGCCCACCAGTGACCTTGTTAATCGGTTCTGCAACGTTAGTTATACCTACTAAGTGTTTTAAAACTACTTTCACTATTTTTATTCAATAATATCACTTTTAATCGTTAGCATAAACTAGCGTTGGTTAGCGTTAGCCAACTTAGCTTTCCATGTGAGAGCAGTCTGTTAACATACCTGAGGCTACAGTACAATTTACAAAGCTAAAACCTCACCTGCCTAGCGAAGACAGCAGTTTTGCATGACTTTACAATTATCATTCGGCTAAATTTGCAACTTACCGTGTTAAT